CGCCGTGTCCTGGCAGGCGGCAGCCCGCAGCTGGCATCTGTCCCCATTCCCCGCCGGGCCCCGATCCCCGTCCTGGCCCCTGTGAGGTGGGCTCCGGCCCCCCAGGAGTGACTGCCAGCCTGCCCAGCGCGCACACTTCAGCCACAAATAAAGAGAAAGCAGGAAGGGGAGGGAGGTCGCAGGTTCATGCCTGGAGAGGTGGAGGGGGACACGGAGCAGTGCCCACTGCCCCTTGAAAGAGCCTGTGGACGTGGAGCAGTCAAACCCTGCCAGGAGGAGTGAGGAAGAGCCCTGCGGTTTCCTGTGCCCCCTTCTTGCAGGTGGCTGGCTTGGCCAGAGCCAGGAGGAGGGTGGCCAGGAGGTCCTGGGCCTTGGCAGGGCGCAACAAAAAGGGTGCGGGGGGAACCTCAGCAGCGGGCTTGGGACAAGGCGGCAGAGGGGCGGCAGCCTGGTGCACTCCAGGTAGGCACACACCAGGGCTCAGAAGCTCTGGCTGGCGTCCCCCAGCCTGGCCACACGGCTGGCTTTGCGGTGCAAACTTCCCACTGGCAGGGCAGCTGCCCCATTTCATAGGTTTTGAAACACACCTTGTGCACTCACAACACTACACTGAAGCCTGAGGAGGGATTAAGAACAAAAGGCCACGAACAAGAGGAGAGTGCTGCGTCAATGACTCAAAAGTCAGGAGAGACCAGAATTAATCGCATCACCATAACTGCTCACCGCAGTGCAATAGCCGTGTACAAGTGCGTGTGCAGACCACCAAGGGCATGCTCAGAGATTGAGCAGCTGGCTCTACCATCCTAAAGCCCTAATTAGAAATGAACCCAGGTGGCCTTTGAGCTGCAAGGAAGCACCATCCCTTTTGGGACATACCTGGACAGCAAAGCCCAATGCTGCAGCTATTTCCACAGGACCCCAACCCCTGCTGAGCTCTCCATCCCCATCCCTGCAGCTGGTCAAGATGGCAAGTTCTGCAAGCCAACTCACTGCACTCACACACCAGGATTTGCAGGAGGACTTTCCTCTACAAACTATCTGCAAGTCTGGGGGGGGAATGGGACATGCATGGTACAGCAGGAGCCAGCATCATTGTCAATCCAACATTCACTGTATCTCCAAAAAAAAAAAAAAAAGGTATGGGGTTTGCATTGCATTTCCATGGGGGAGATGACTGTTTAGGGAAAACAGCCTTTGCCCGTGTGTAATCGCTATCCTTCATGCTGCTCTAATGCACTCGGTTCTGCTGCAGGCAGCTTCCACTTTCACAGCACTGGGAGCACTCTAAGGCCCATGTGAGGCTGGCAACCTGCACCAGTCAGCACAGATGACTGCGGTCATGACCTCAGAAACTTCCGTTTCCACCCCCACGAATAGAGGGCAGAATTAAGGGTGCACAGCAGCCACGTGCTATCTTCCACTGGGTTCACTTTCCAACTTCTCAGCCGCAGGGTGGTTAACAGGAAGCCCCAAAGGGGTGTGCTAGGACAAGGAAGCACCAGGATCTAAGTCTTGCTATGTGCAGAGAGGTTGCCTTGATGCAACTATGCTACTCTGCTGTGTCACACACTGCAACCAAGAACCTCTTGACCTGATATATGCCCCTCCAGGCTGCAGTGTACCATCCCTGAGCCCCAAGAACCACTGTATCGCTTCTGCTGCGCTCCAGAATAGCATCTGCACAATGCTGATGCTGATGCTGAGCACTGTGGCTGCTCCCACGCCCACGCTTTGATTTTGGCACGCTTATGCTCGTTGCTTTGGGGACAGATACAGAATGAGGGAGGTCTGCTTCCTGTGGGGTTTCTCAGCCCCTTGACCTTCCTGGCTGTTCTCTTCCAAGCATTAGCTAAACCACAACAACAAACACCTTAATGATAAGTGCAAACTAGACAACAGCAGGATGTGACCCCTGTGGTTTTCAACACTGTTCCCTCAAAGCATTGTTTCAAAGCAGCTTTTCTATGATCTGGATCTCATTGTACAGCACCTAGCACAATAGGGTCTAGATCCATACCTGGGGTTTCCAGGCAGTGAAACAACACAAATAATGTATTGCTAGAAAAAGGGATCTACTCAACGCAGTTCATCTTCCTTCAATCAAGAGAATTTAGTCCTAAAACAAAACCCGGGGGCTGATCTTTGCAAATCAGACCAATCCTGACTTACAGCAGGGGTCTGTGTCACTAATTGTTCTCTACTGGATGAAATTGGAACTGCTGGATTGTGTGTCATATGCCTATACAGCTGAGGGAGGCTCTCCTTTAATTAGCAGGAGAAATGGCGTGTGCTTTTGGAGCAGGAGGCTCTGAGTTGTTCCTGCCATAGCTCTCACAGGGCTCCGTAAGTGGTGGAGTGATACATGTCAAGGCCATGGAGCGGGTGGCGACCTATGGCCTATAGGCTGAATCCAGCCTGCAAAGCAATCCAATCCAGGCCACCAAAGTCCAATCTGGCATGGGGGATCAGTGGCAAGGACCATGTCATCCATCCTCACTACTGCGCTCCTCTCCACTGCAGAGCTGAGCTGTTGGAGGTAGGGCTGGGACTCGGGAGTCCCTGGCTCCAAGCCCCATTTGTCTTGCATTTACTCTCCTTCCAGCCATCTTGTAGACCTGGACTCCCCATCTGCCATCCCCAAGAGCCTTGGGCACAAAAGAAGGCTTTGTATTTCTAGCCATGGTTGCACTGATCCAGACCCACCAGGGCAGTGGTGTCTTTATCTCCCAGCGCCTTTGCAAATATTTGCCTGTGCAGTGCCAGTAGGTGTGGGCGGCTGGCCCAGCCCTTGTAGACTTAAAGCCCTGCCCTTGATGGGGGTCAGGGAGTGGTAAGGGATGGAGAAGGTGACTTGGCCCCTAAGAAGGAAGCAGGTACTCTTAAGGGCAGAACACCTTCAGCTCAGCTGGATTTAAGAGCACTCTGTCCCAACCGTGAGAACTGGGAAGATTGAAAGAGTCACAACTACTTTGCACTTTGCATAGTGATCTGCACCCATATAATGTACTTCTGGCCTTGCACACACTCTGCACGGATGCTACTGGAACCTCCCACGGTTCAGGGCAATAGAGAATCCCCTCCTGTGGGCAGGCAGAATCTCTCCCTGCCAGCCCAGGCCTGGGGGACTGAGGAAGCCAGTGCAGCAAAAGGCACGGCCTCATCTGAGCCCTGCACAGGGAAGGAAAGAGACCTTTGACCAAGCTGCCAGCAGGAGGCTTCCCAACCAATGGAAGTAGGTCTGCCGTGCCAGGCACTCCAGGCTGAGCCAACATAAGAGGCAGGCAGCCTTTTTTATATCCTGCCAGCTACCTTAGCACTCACCCTGTCTTCAGTAAAAAGCAGGAATACATTTCCTCTGAGAGACATCGGCAGCCACGAGAGGGACGATGATGCTCTCCAGAATTCAGGGCTGCTGACCAACTGACTCACTTTCCTTGATGATGTACCCCGGCTCCCCCCAGGAATGGACGTGCCTGCCAGCAAATGTCAGACAACCTCCCCTCACCTTCCCACCCCACCGCCACCCCCACCTCCCAGCAGGCTCCTGGATGAACTTGTCCCCTGGGAAGGAGACGCCCTTCCTGAAATGCACAACTTGGCTTTCACCCCGAGCACCGTGCAGCATGGCTGGGGCCAGAGCACTATGGTACAGGGAAGTGATGCTAAAGGGGAGGCGGGTGTATGGACTGGGGGTCCCTTTGTCAGGAACGGCCTGGATGGATGATGGACAATGGGTGCAGCCAGAGGAGAAGGGCTGCAGGGAAGGGGTGGTCAGGAGCCTGAGGAAGAGGAAGGTCTTTCTGTGGGGAGGTCGGGGGGAGGATTCCTCCCGCAGCTCAGGGAAAACTATGTGTAAGAAACATGTGTGCCTCCAGCTACCCATCCAGCCTCCCTCCCCATCCTCCAGGGCATCCCCTTTTACTGGTGTGAGGGGGCAGAGGGGGCCTAGGGCAGGTGTGACCCCTGACACCTGGGACACAACAGGGCTGTGCCCACTCCCACAGGTGGAACTGACACCTGGGTCTTTACTATCCTGGATTTATGGGTAGGGGGGGTCAGTCTTCAGCTGGCCACGGACGGTTGTACACCCAGGATCTCTCTGCCCTGAGGGCAGCACCTCAGAGCCAGGCCTATGGGTGAGGACACCCCAAACATCCCCTCTCCCCAAGATATTAGCTCCCTCCTGTGAGTGCCCCAACACTCCAGCTCACTGCATTAGGGCTGTCCTGTAGTCTTGGAAAAGGTCCCAGTTCCCTCCCCACAGCTTCCCTCCCTCACATACCACACTCAGGCCACGCATGGGCCTAGAAGAGGAACTGCTAGGGTAGGAAGTGGACTGCGGCAGACACACTGCCCCAGCTGCCCTCTGGGCCTTCCAGCTACCTGGCCTTGCTGGTTCCCTCTCCCAGCTCCCTGTCTGAGGCTGGGTGCCTGGCACAGGCTGGGCAGGGAGCTCCCCAAATGCAAGGCCACCAGGGCACAAGCCATGGGAGGCAGCACTCTCTGAGTAGCCCTCTGCTCCTCTGCGGCAAAACCACCTGGGGCAATTTGCTTTCTCCACTGAGAGCTTGCAGGTGCAACTGGCCCCTCCTTCATTGCCTTGGGATTTGCTGTGCAGGGGGTCCCATCCAGCTCCGGCTCTCCCCACTCCAAGCTTCTGAGTCATAAGCAAGGTTTGGCACCTCTGCCTGGCTTTCTGGGGAGAGCAACTCTCTCACC